TCAAACGCGCCCGAAGGTCTCCTGAGATGCTAGGATAGTCCGGAATTTGTATTACTGTTTGACCACATAATAACACCAGTTGTTTTAGCTGTTTTAGAGACTAACTTTTTTCGAAATCATACTTCCAGATGTCTTTTGGAGGCATCGGCACATTGCAAGTTGGAGAAGAGAAAGAGCAAGGAACTGGATTATTGGACTTTTCCAAAACATGTAAGTAAACAATTTTGGAGAAGTGAGCTACGAGTCTATGTTTTGGTTTTTAGCCTAACTTACAGATATTTCTTTTCACCCTACCCTCCGCGTAGTCAGCCTTTTAACTTGCATTCTTAGTGTTTCCCTTTCTCCAACTCCCTCCCCTGAAAAGCGAAGATGTCCAAGAAGAAAGGCACACTGCGGTAGATCCAAGACTTGGTGAACTGTACTATCCCAAACCTAAATCATACGTGGATGAGGCCGAAAAACTTCTCGAAGCAAATCCACCAACACCAGCGACACCATTCAAAGAGGTTGGCCTTAACAAAATCTAAACTTTATATTTTTTAACGATTTCTTTTGTAGATCAAGGAAATAAAAAGCGGAGAAGTTGACTTTCCTAGCGAGAATCCTTTCGATATGATCAAATCCCGGCCTGGCTATCCAGGACGGGCTCGCGTACATGCTGTTAAGACTGCAGCCACAGAAGTAAGTTCCTATTTTTATACATTTTTCAAAAAAGTTATTTTTCATCAAGCCAAGATATTCGAAGGCTTATAAAATTTCACAGTTTTTGTGCCATCTATCACGAACTTTGAATTCTAGGATGATGATCTCTTACCCATCAAAGAACCATTTGAGGACAAGTCTAGTGAAGGATTTATCAAACAAAAATCCAAGGAAAAGTTCACAGAGGCGGAGCAAGAGGATTTAGTGCCAAGCGGTGGAGTGCAGAATTTTGCAGCGGTACGTAATTTTACAGAAATTTCTATTTTTTTGCAAATTCACTTCTATAAGTAAATCTTTTTTTT